CAGGAATGATCTTGGTGATGAAAATGGATGGGTCGTCACCGATGTGTGGGTTATCAGTGCCACCTGCGATGCTGAAGCCCAGACCTGAGTTACCCTGTGCAGAAGGAGGGGAAGAGGGTCAGCTTCCCTCACTGTCCAATTCAGGCAAGGTGGGTGAGGAGGGGAACAGGTTGGTGAGCTGCTGCCAGAGCAGGAAGGGACAGGGTGAAGGAGCTAACCATCCAGACAACATGGGCACAGGGAGAAGCACAGACAAGGAGCCAAGGGGACCTTAGATGGAGGAGGCTGCTCACCCTTTCCAATGTGATCTCCTCGTATTCCATCTCCCCCTCGGTCCCATTCACCTGCAACTCCAGCACGGGATAGAAACACAACAGTGAGACAGACATTCCTGCCTGAGAACCTGCCCCCATCTGCTGCTGGGAACCTGGCCCTCCCCTTCTCCCCCTCCTTCCTTTTACAATGGTCCCAGCCCCACAATCTAAACTACTCACATATCCTGGGGCTTCTAGGGTGTCTGTGTTGACGATCACGGGGGGAGAATTGGCCTGTAGGGGAAACAGGAGACACAAAGCTGCCTGAGCCTTGGCTCAAGAGAGATCCCATAACCAAGGGTCCCACCAGACTGGCTACCCTTTCAGCCTCTTAGCCAAGCCCACTCCGCCTCCCTTGGAGCTCCTCAAGGACCCAGCCTCAATCCACATTACGCACACACACACACAGATGCACACGCACATGGATCTAACTCTGCCCAGTGCAGGCACCCTGTGTGTGGAAGGAGGTGTATGAGAAGCGGGAAGGGAGACAGCCAGACGGAGAGGGGAGCAGCAGATGGTAAAGAGTGGGGAGAGGGGGGGCTGGTGGGGGGAGCTTCTCACCGGATATAACACCACAGGGTGTTACATGCCTTATGTGCTACACACGTACACCCCAGGGCTCATGTCCACCGGGTCCTGCTCCCCGCTTCCTGCCTCCATCCTTGTCCCTATCACCCCACATATGCCCAGATATCTTCATAACCCTCCCCCAGGTTCCTCCCTCACCTTCACACACATTTGGCCTAAACCCTCCGCGCGCGCGGGAATCCGGGGTTCCCCTAGCTGCAGGCCCCTCCCTCAGTCTCACCCACCCAACATCCAATCCACCCCTTCCTCTAGGACCATGTTGCCTAGCAACGGTATCTAGGACCAGTCAAGACCTGGGGAGACCCACCTCCTGGAGGCCCTGTCGTCAGGACAACAGACAGGGGGATGGGGCGTGGCCTAGGGTCGACAAGATTCCCGAACAAACGCAGAAGGGATCCGCTAGCCCCGCCTCTCCTGCCCTGGGCCCCGCCCTGCGATAGCCAGGCCGAGAGAAGGCCAGGCTGAAGAGGTTTGTGGGCGCAGCGCATCTTGAATAATGGGCCTTCCCCTTTCCCCTACGCCCCTCACCCCATGCAGTGCAAAGGACGTCAGAAAGGAGGAGTGGTGAAAGACATCCGGGTCCTATCCCGCTCATCTACTCCCTACCCCCACTTCTTTCAGGAAAGGGTTAAAGTGGGGCGTGCCCAGGTCCCTGACGTCAGTCGCCTGGTCTTTAGACTCCCAGGCGGGGCCAGCTTTAGGCCGGTCCTAGGGGCTTCCCCAGTCGCCACGGCAACCGTAGCCATGTCTCTATGGCAATGGAGGGAGGCCTCAAAGAGCCTCCTTCAGGGGGTCCCCAACCTATTTCCTCCTTAAACAAATATTTATTTGGAGCCATCCAAGCGCAAGGATTCCCTAGTCTCCTTCCTGCTCTCCCCCTCCAAAGGGGTCCCTCCCCTCTCCTATTGCTATTTCTCAATCCTACAAACTACTGACCATTTTCAAGCTCTGTTATAGATTTCATACCCATACCATCCTCCAGTCCTTCAAATCTCAGCAAACGCTGTTGTCCAACCAATAGCCACTGACTGTCAAAACCCCATCCACATGTTAATCCTCCATCCCATGTCCCATTCTCAATCCCCATCCCCATCCTCAAGCTAGAACCTCCTTCTCTGAGACCCATCTTTCAACCAGGACTACATTCGTCTGCTTCCCATCCCTGTCTCTACCCCCATCTATATCCTTGTCCCCACCCTTTAATGTCCATCTTTCAACCCCAGCCTCCATTCTCCAGCTGCTTCCTTGTCCCTATCCCACCCCCCAGTCCCATTCCTTATCAATCTCCCATCCTCCTCCTCCTCCATCCCAATTTCTGATTCCCCAGAAAGATCATCACCATTCTCCCTTACCCAGTCTTCAAACCCTCAAGATTACCCTCAAGTAACAATCCTTCACTTCCCAACACACCTCCCCATCTCCTCTGAAAACTGGGGCTGCTTCTCCTCTCCCCCAGCTGAAGCCTTGTCCTGAGACCTCCCTCTCATGCCTATGGCTGCCAGCACCCTCTCCCTCCACTTCCCTCTGCTTTCTGAGCTGACCCCAGCACTCCCATGCACTGTACTAACTACCACCCCTCAAGCCTCCCTTCTCTCATCTTCACCCTCCCCAGGGACTTAGTAATGGCCCCTTCCTTCACTGGTAGCAGCCAGAGTTTCACACAGATACTCTGCACCCTCCCCATCTCCAGGGCCTTACTTTCCTTCCTCCTAATCAGCTCCATCCACTCTCTGCTTTCTCAGGCTCCTCCCTGTCTGGCCCCTACCCCAGGACCTTTTACCCTTCCGAGCCCCTCCAACTCCTCTCCTGCCACTTCTCACCCCAAAACCTGCTGCTGCCCCTCCCCGCCCCACCATGTCTAAATTCAGAAACTCCTTTGCATCTTCTTGGAAAAATATTAGCAGCCTCCCCCTCCCAGGACATCCCATAGCATCCTAGAATCTCCACTCCTGACCCCACAGTGTCCCACTCAATCTCACAGCTTGCCTAGTGCTTTCCATTCCTCCCTAGCCTCTGTCCCCAGAAGAGGAGAGTGAGCGGGAAGAAGATGGAAAGTGGACTAGAGAATGGAAGGTCTCAGAAACAAGGCCTCCCCAGGGCTGGAGAGGGGAGAAGAACACTGTGAGTCCAGAAAAGGCAGAGAAGGGGAGACAGGTGGAGGTGAGTAATAAGGAGGGGACAGAGGGGGACTGAAAGAAGATATGGGTGGGGGCGAGAGCCCAAGAGGATGAGAGAGGGGAGGAGGGGAGGAGGGAAGATGATGAATAAGGAAGCGGGAAATTGAGGAAGGGGAGCTGGCTGACACAGGGAGAGGACTGATCAGGCCACAGAGGCCTGAGCTGGGGATCAGGGAGAGGGAGACGGAGAATGCGTGGGAGGAAGAGAGAGACAGCATCAAGAGCCAGCCAGCCAGCGGGGAGGGAAAGGCTGGGGAGGGGGAAAAGAGCACAGGAGGGGAGCAAAGACTGGGGCAGGGGACAAGGCAGAAAGGCCCCACCATGTGAAGTCTCAGGCCAGACAGATGGAAAGGGCTGGAGACTCAGGGCTAGGGTGAGCCAGGCCCAGAGGCGGAGGTGGGGGGAGGAGGGGAAGGGACAAGAGCAAATGAGGGCAGCAGGCGCTTGGAACAGAGCTCTGGACACAGACAACAGAAATGGAGGTTGGGGATATGAAGGAATGAAGAAGGCCCAGACGTTGGGGGGGCCTCCTGGGTGATGCACATATCTGACCACACACGCACACAACACCAGAGCATAAGCGTGCACGCACACGCGCACACACAGACACACACACACATTCTAGCTTTAGGCTCTTCACCCACTCCCGCTTGCCTGGCCTGTTTCTCCTCTGTGGGATTAAGGTATTTCCAGCCCCCCAAATGCCCCCTCCCCCAGGCCCCAGGAGCCCAAGCCCCAGACAGCCCCAGCCCAGTCCCAGCCTTCCCCCCAAGGCTCTCTCTCTCACCCTACCGGCCCTTGGGGGTTGCTGCAGCTCCGAGGCTCCGAGGGCCGCACTGGGGAGGGGGCCGCCAGGGTCTCCTACCTTGAGGGGGGAGAGGTGGGC